GGTAGTAAATGCAACTTGCATTCACTCCAAAATGCAATGAGGGCAAGGCTTTCAACCTGAGCCCCACGCTACAATTCCCTTCCAAGCCTTGCTCACAACTTGCAAACAAGCAAAGGGTATTTTCAAGATACTATCTTGCAACATCATTTTGGTACACTGTACCAAATTGTGGGTACACTGTGCCCTAGTACGAAAACATTTTCCTTATGCTTACAACCACACAGGTTGAGTCATGGATACATGTACGCAGGCCTTCACCCTTGCACATCTCACTACTTTAAGGCAACTGCTATAATAGTAAGGATCTTAGTCACACTGTGACTTGGCACATGAATCTTTCTAGGTCGAGGTAACCTTCTGCAACGCTGTCGCTAACTTTGCGTCCTCGGCAGCTTCCACGTAGGTACGTAATAGCGCAGGGATGTTCTGTGCTAGAGACTTCAAGGGCTCCCAAGAGTCCTCGATAGGCTCTAAGCCGCACCAACTCACTAGGATTTCAAAGGCATGTTTGTGTTTGTTCCAACGGTGCTTGCTAAGTCGGTCGACCTTCAGCACGATGTCCTAGGAGACGACGTGCTCCAGTAGTTTCTCCGTTACTTCCAAGTCGCTGTTTGCGTAGAACTTCATGCGTGAAGCGCGCACATCTTGCTCCTTGCCGGTAACGAGGTGCCGAACACGAAACGAGTGTGAGTCCGCACGGGTAACCACGTAGAGACCGATCCAGGTGACTAGCAACTTGTTGTGTCGGCGTTCATCGACACGTGATCGTAGGACGTAATCATCCACCGAAAAGGTTACTTCTTTTGTATCTCTGGATTTTCTCTTGTTCAGCAAAGTGATATTCTCACGCTTGTTCTTAACAGCACAGTACATGTCCTCAATACTAGACCGCAGCTTCGCTAGAGTGTTCTCGATGGCTGCACTCGAAATAGAGACTGCCTTAGGTTGATTGTCAGGTACATGCAGAATGTAGGCTGGCACTGGGCATGGCAACCCAGTGAATACCTCAACAGGGGCCTTGTTAGCTAGAGAAGCCACCGGAGAGTGATTCAAGTTAGCTTGCACCAAAGGTACAAGATAGATCCAGTCGTTGTGCGAAATCTTGTACTCCGTGATCATTGCACGCAG